CTTAATCACCATAGGCTCTTGCTCATATATTATTTCATTAACTTCTGTGTCTGCCAATTCCTTTTGATACAGTGACTCAGTATATTCTTTCCATCTTCTTTTAATACTTCCTGGATCATTTAATAGTCTGCCTAATGCATCCTTGATGATAGCAACTCGAGGTGTCAATTTGTTCTTCCATTCCTTGAGCTTAAGAAATGCTGAACGAGTTCAGCCCCTTTGATTCTCTGGCTCCAGCTCCTTGCACATTTCATTGTAATGTTTTGCTTTGTCATTCCATGCTGCCTTTTGAAATCTTCTATTCAGCTCTTTAGTATCTTGATTTCTTCCTTCTCCTTTGGCTTCTCTGCACTCCAGTGCAATATTCAGAGTTCTGTCATCCACTTTGGTCTTTTTTTCCTCCTCTTGTCCTTGTAATGACCATTTGCACTCTTCCTGGATGATACCTTTGACATCCCACAACTTATTTGGTCTTCGCCCATAGTGTTCAAGGCCTCAAACCTGTTCCTGAGATGGTTCTGAAATTCAGGTGGGATTAACTCAATGGTTTATTCTGTGGTTGGTGCATAGATATATATTATTATTATTATTATTATGTCCTCTTGACCCTTTGAGCATTATATAGTGACCTTCCTTTTATTTTGTGATGGTTTTTGCATTGAAATCTATTTTATCAGAAATTAATATCTCTAATCCTGCTTCTTTATGGTTGCCATTTGCTTGATATATTTTTTTCCTACTTTTTTATTGTTAGACTTTCTTTATCTTCACTTTTCAGGTGTGTATCTTGTACAGAGCATATTGATGGGGTAGCATTTTTATCCAGTCTGTTTATTTTTTTTTTTCTCTTCAGTGGTGCATTTAAACGATTCACATTCAGTGCCATTATTGAGAGACAAAGTTTTATTGCTATCATTTTGTTGAGTTCTTTTTGGTGTTGTTGCTGGTTACTTTGGTCCATCCTTCTTTCTGTGGCACCTCTGTAAGAAGGATGTGTCTTAGAGTTTCCTGCTATGCT